ACATAAATTTGAATGCTTAACGCCACATTTTAATATAGTTGGTAAGGGTGAGGTGAAGAGTTGTATTGTGGCTACTTGTGACTTATGTTTGTTTACTTTTTTTGCCTTGTATTGTTGTATGTGCTAGATAATTAATGTGGGTGATCTTCGCGGTGTGACTTGTGTGACTTTGTGTATGTCTTTGATGACTAATTCCACATCCTGGGTTTGTTCCCTGTATGGATGTTTATGGAAAGTGGAGGATGTGTATGTATGTATATGACGAGTCCTGTATCAATGTATTTTGATTTATGGGAAAATTATATTAATTTTAAGTTTTTATAGTAATGCACTTTTTAAATTATGTTTAGTTACAATTGTAATAAGCTCTTGTTTTGTTTTTTTTATATTACCTATGTTAGTTAACTGGTGTGTGTTATTTTAGTTGTGTGACTTATGTAATCTATTACATGTATACATCTATAATCAAATGGACTATTTCCACATCCTAGGATTTTTGCCTGTATGGATATATGGAAAATAAAGGAAATGAATGAATGAAAATTAAGTATTTGTAGTTATGTGATCAAAATAATTGCATCAAACTTCTATATTATGAATAGGTCTTTTGTATTGATTTATGATGGTGACAACGATAATCATATATCTGCATAAATCTGATCATATTTGAATATTTTATGTACAAATTTTGTATTGTGACTGTATTGCATGTTGATGGGTTCATTGTTTTTTTGTATGTGTTTATGTATTTTGACATGTTCTATATCCTATGGCATGCGTGACCTGAAAAGGATCTATGGAATTTAAAATAAAGTGAAAGTGAAATTTTGCTAGAAGAAATATTTCAAGTAACAAAGGCCCTACCTACAAACCAACTTCTCATGATAGAGATGATAGAGACATGAACCAGTGAAATATCAAATTATTTCTAAGTGATGTTTATCAGTATGCTTTCTTGACTTCAGTAAGTGAAGCCTTCAAGTGAAACTGGAGACACTTTACTTCTCTAATTTTACCTTTCTTTATGTCCCTCAACAGGCAATAACCTATTTCCATGTCTGTCCAATCTGCATCATAACCTTTGATTCCAAATTTATTGTAGAAATTCTCTGCCACCTTAAATTTTAAATCTATCTAAGCCCAGCAATTGTTCTATTTGTTGTACCCTAAATATTCAGGAAAAACATAATGCAATGCTCTCAAAAACCTCAAAGCTTATGTCATCAATACTGACAATTCTTTCTAGTCTCCTCAATCTTCCTCCTCATTAATGAGGCACAAAATATTTGTGGTATTAATCATTCAATTTCTATTAAACCAAACTTATACTGAGGCAACCTGCTGTTGATTCAACCACAGATGTTTATTCAAGAACCATCGTTATAATTTTAGGAAATGTATGTAGTCAGTTCTTACCATGTGTTGTTTCAACCATTTCTTCAGATCATTGCCAGCAGGATAATATAAAACAGGATGCTGTAAAACTCTGACAAGCAATTATTAGTAAAGTGAATTTAATTATAAAATACTGCATGAAAATTTACACTGATGTGTTTTAATCAACATAAACCTGTGGTACTAAGTATATTAATGGTGGTATATGATTGTGACCCAGAAGTCAGGTCAAAACATGTGGTAAGAACTAACTACATATATTTCATGAAATTATACTGATGTTCCTTGAACATATATTTCTAATCTAATGCAAAGCACACAGTGATAATCTCCTTCCACTTGTTGCTTATTATGCAACTATCATTATCTTCACAAACTGAAGTGTATTCTCTGTGATGTTATCGCATATATGAGTAACTATCTTGTTGAAGACCCCCAAGTTTTCTTTCCTTTCATCTTCCCATTCTGCATTAACTCTTTGTCCATATGAATCTCCCTCAAGATATTATTAACAATCACTTACTGCTCCTCATCTCTAGTGTATTCAATGTGAAAATCCCTGTTCTGAGTAAAGGAGATGTTTACCTATTTATGTTACGAATCATGAACATGCTAACAATTCATAAAAATTAAGACACAATAACAACTTTCCTTCTATTGCTGGTCTGTGCAGATTAAGCTGCATGAAATTCTAAAACCCAGACCCATCAGATAAATATTTGCCCTATCTCATATACATTCTTCCACACATATAACAAGTTTTCTAAGTGTAACATCATTAATATTACAGAATTTTGGATTACCATATCAATGAATTGACAAACATTAACATGGTACATGAATGTAAGTAATGTGTTAGACCATGAACAAGGAATTTTTTGTATCAGTGTATTGTGGATATTCTCTGAGTACTGATCATAATTTTATGTAGATCTTTGAAGTGTAGGACACTTATAAATGAGATGGCTTACAACTGGCTACTACTTGTGCCTGTTATTCATGGGAGATGAGACTAAACATCAGCTCTGATGTATCATTTGATAGTGAGTAGAACTAGAAAGGAAGACGGAAGATAGCAAGGGAAGTTAATAGTAAGAACGCTTACATAACAAATGATGAGACTTCAGATTGAATTCTCAGCATGTGCTACAATAATGTGTGTGTGTGTGTGTGTGTGTGCACGCGCACATGTAGAAGTAAAATAATACTGCATAATCAAATCCAGAAAAATGCAACATTTATTCCAATATGATGAAGTTCATTGAATTATGTATACTGATATCAGTTATGACACCAAATATAAATAAAGATAATATTTACGGTAAGAATTACATGTGGACACCTTTCAAACATTTATATTATCATACAGTTCACTGGGTTATATCATAATGTTTGGAAATAATCTATGAACTTCAAAAAGCATTATTGCCTAAGCTCTATTTTGTTCAATCATCATGGTTTATGTTTTAAGCTAAGAGTTGGTCAAACTGAAGAATAATTACGAATACCATACCCACCAAAAACAGAATTATTCAGTACAAAGTACAGGGAAAGTAACCATATTACAGTATAAAATTTAATGAATGTATGAATTATATCAATTTTAAATTATGACTGTATAATCAGCTTTTGAAAGGCCTTTGTCTGATGTCTGATGTCAATTGAATTAAGAAAAATATTAAGTGATAACCACACCAATCTTTTCAGCAATAAATTTCATTTCCATCATTCCCTATTCTCTTCGCAAAATGTTCACGGAAAATTGTGAGACAAATATATTTTCGTTAATAAATACTGAACAGTGCTTCCAGCAAGTACTCATATGACTTTGTAACTGATATCCCCCATTGATATGTATCCACTTATAACTGTTCTCATATTTGCTAAATAGATATAGGAAATACAAAATTTAATTTGCCCAACTCTAGGCTTTAATTTTAAATACATCAAATATTACACTGTAACATGACACTGATAATTTACCAGCAGTCACAGTAGGACAGTAACACTCAGGAAAATGGGGTTTCTTTTTATGTACCTCGAGTCACATTTTTCGAGGGTGAGTTAAACCTCTGCTGAGGGACCGGAGAAGAGCAACATTTAGTGGCACACACTGTGATTGTACGTTGAGTCAGGCTTGATCCAAGAGCAGAGAATTCAGTGCCAAGAAGTTGACACACATCAAATACCTCTGTGGAAATCGCACACTATTGTCAGAAACTATGCATATATTCAAACAGCAGAAATAAAAGATAACTTTCATATATTTCATTATTCCATTAAAACTGAAAAGACAAAACAGTAATAGCCTCTTAAGGAACTTCTTGCAATGCTCCAGTCAATATTCATGTGTATCAGACAAGTACCTGGACAGGAATATTGTTTTCACTGTGATAACTTTATATCAAAGACAGTAATGTATGTTGCCTTCTTAAATGGGNCAGGTGCTCCATTTATGTCAGTCTATTTCATTGCTTGCCATTACGTCATTGTAAAATTTAAAAAGTATTTAAAAATGTTCGTCAATTATAATAAATATATATATACTAAAAACTTGTTAAGATTATTTATCTTAGCTGTCCCAATTCTAACACCATGCAACACGAGATACGATATACCCTGAGAATAAGAGGAACGACTCCCATAGTGGTGAAACTACGCGTGGTGTTAGAATTGGGACAGATAAGATAAATAATCTTAACAAGTTTTTAGTATATATATATTTACTATAATTGATGAACATTTTTAAATACTTTTTAAATTTTACAATGACGTAATGGCAAGCAATGAAATAGACTGACATAAATGGAGCACCTGATGATGGCACTGTAGTGTCGAAACATGTTGTGAAGTAACAAGTAAAATTGAGTGCACTAAAAGACGGACACTGCTTACATATCATGGTTAAAGTTTCTAGTTCAAAACAGTTTCAAGATATAACAGATTATGTTGATCCCCAGAGTACAATAAACTGCTCTCTCAATTTTGCTTAAATTAACAGAAATCTAGTAGGCTGTAAATGCAGCTTGTATTATCAACTGAAGGCAACACAAATATATTATCATATATATCATAGTAACCCTCCCACACAAATAATTCTCAGAACTAATGTTCAGAGTTATTTTTCTTTTCTTTCTTTCTTTGTTTGTTTCTTTCTTTTTTGTGTATGTAATTTAGGACTGAGAACATTTTTAAGAATTCTTGTCTGTCCTCAAAAGAAGTTATAGTCCATTGGATTGAAATTTTATTTCACACTTGTACTTTCTATACAATTACATTTAAAACTGCTTTCTTCTATTTATACCAGTAGATTCACATGCATAAAATGTTCAGTTGTGATATTTTGCATAGAAAAGTTGTTCTCAGTTTGAAACAGAATAAATGTCACTGTTTCTTCAAGGTATATGAAAGAGCGAAACCCTGCACGAACCCTTGTTTCATAGTGTTTTGTAAACTATATGGCACTGTGAAAGGAAATGTCTACATATTTAGCACTATAAAACGTAAAGTTGTCCCTGGTCCTTAATTAATCAAGAACCATGTCATGAAGATGTATGGGGAGTGGAGCAATAACTCCACCATTCTTAACTTTGGCACTAGATGGACATGAGTGGGCCCAAGACCTGGTTTGGATGATGGAGAAGAAAAAATCTCTTACCCTTGTCAGGAATTCAGCCCCGACTCTTCGACCATCCAGTCCATAGCCTAGTCACTATATTTGGTGAAAAAGTAAAGTTGTCCCTGTGCTTAACTTATTAAGCACTACGCCATGAAGGGGTGTGGGGAAGTGGATGTATAGATCCATATTTTCTTGAACTCAACACTAGTTGGAGGTGAGTGGTCAGCTTCACGCCCCTGATGCTTTACCCCCGGTACCCATTGGATAGGAGGCTGGGTAGGCCCCAGAGCTGTTCTGGACAACATGGAGAAGAGATCTTGATTCTACTGGGACTTGAACACTGACCCCTTGGTCATCTAACCTGTAGCCAGTCACTATACTGACTACACTATCGGGGCTCCTCAATATTTGGTACTGTATTGAATTTTATTCAAGAAAGAAAATTAATTTGCATATCTTTGAGGAACAGCAATAGTTACAATCAATTTCACTTCAAATCAGCACACATCATAAAAATGTACTGAGTTCAACATATGAATAGCCAGTTTGAAGTTTGTTGGCATCATGTTTAGACATGACAGAAACACATTTTACTTTTGCTCAGAAGTTGCAACATGATTTCATAAAGTCTGCTCAAAAACAGAAAGGTAATAAAGGTTGTAAAGGTTTTATATCTTGTATTCAATTATGGCCTGAATATGAATCAAGAAGTTTCATAGTCTGAGATCAGGAAGTTTTGATATGTGAAACCACAGACTGCAACCCCTGCCCCAAAAACAAGAGGTCATATTTAAAACAGTGCTATTTTATGACACTATACCAGTTACAAGGGTTGTCAGCCCTCTTGTGAAAAATGACAAGATGAATGCAGGAGACCAGAGGGGAGTGAGTTGGAGCTTGTGATATCCCAGCTTGGAGGGACTGAATAAAATCTCATAAAAGTTCAGTCAGGATAAATAGTCACAAATTTTTTATCCAGGTACTTCCCAAACACAAGACAGTTATGTTGCTGCTGAGGTAGCCTGTCCAGCAACATTCAACATAAGAAATATTTTTCGCGAACTAAACAAAATTAAAAGTAAGATGTCAAGCTTTCATGGTGACTGTGTGCAATGAAGTCTTCTGACTCTGTCCATTATCCCTCTAGTGGCTCATCCTATGACAGCAGAGCATGCTTTAGGGGTATACTCATAAATACAATGTGTGTTCATGTCACTCACATCAGGTGTTGACCTGATGATGGAGACAGGAACATTCTCCAAAATTAATAGTAGAGTGAATTTACCGACTACACAACACGTTTTTTATTATCACTACATGTTTTGACCTCAAGAGGTCATCCTCAGGTGTATGAACACGGCTGTATAATTACACGCGGTCATATTCTCCAAAATGTTGAATACCAATTCTATCTTCACATGGTTTACTACCCACGAAGACTTCGTTACAATACAGCAACATACATCGCTGTCCAAAAAGTATTTTACTTTATTTTTTGCCACTGTAAGCAATGGCCAAAGGGGTGGGGAAACTGAGCATAGTGGTAGAAGGGACTTTCATGCACATGTGTGATTATTTGCTGACTCGCAACACCGCTGGATGCATCTGTGGCTGCCAGATAGTGAAGTGGTGCAACACGTGTTCATCACATTCTTGTTCCACTCAAGATGACAGAACGCTTGGAGCAGTGATACTGTATCAAGTTTTGTCAGAAACTTAAGGATACCCCAGTGGAAGCAATCTGCAAAATTCAGCAGGCTTTCAGCCATGATGCAATGGGGGTCACTCAAAATTAAAAAGAATGGTTCAACCGCTTTAAAAGATGGCCGTATGTCAGTGGACAGTGACCAGCGTTCCGGGAGACCGTCAACGAGCCAAAATACTGATGTCATTGAAATAGTGCAGACACTGATCATGGAGGACCATCATAAGAACATCCAGGAAATTTCTGATGAAGTTAGGATCAGCAGAGGTTCTGCAAACACAATTTTAACTGAGAATTTGAGCATGCGAAGAGTGGTGGCGAAATTTGTGCCCAAGCTGCTTTCACCGGAGCAGCAACAACTCCTCCTTGAGGTCACGCAGGACATGCTGGAGTGCACCAAAGGGATCCTGAGTTTCTGAAGACTGTGATCACTAGTGACGAGTCATGGGTGTACAGATATGACCCAGAAACCAAGGTCCAGGCATCACAATGGAAGCATCCAAGATCCCCAAGGCCCAAAAAAAGCACGACATGTTCGGAGCAATGTGAAGGTGATACTGTTTTTTTTTCGATTACTGGGGTGTTGTGCATCATGAGTACACACCACTAGGCCAAACTGTCAATAAGGAGTATACCAAGAAGTCCTCCGCCATCTTTGTGATGCAGTTCAGCACAAAGGACAAAGCTGTGGGACGCATGCGACTGGCAGCTGCATCATGAAAACGCACCAGCTCATTCATCACACCTGATCCAGGGTTTCCTGGACAAACACGGCATTCCGCAGGTTTGCCAGGCTCCCTACTCTCCTGATATTGCTCCTTGTGATTTCTGGCTGTTCCCGAGATTGAAGACACCACTAAAAGGCTCTCGTTTTGACAGCTGTGAGGACAGCATACAGAATGCAATGGTGCAGCTGCATGCCATTCCAAAAGAAGCCTTCCAGAATTGTTTCCAGCTGTGGAAGGACCGCTGGGCTAAGTGTGTGGGGTCACAAGGGGCCTCCTTTGAAGGGGATTAGGTATCATAACAACCCAGATACAGAACTTTGTTTTCCCAGCCCAAGGTCGGATACTTCTTGGACAGAGTAGTAGAATGATGTTACTTAAATTCAGAAATATTGTTATATTTCATTTATAATATTTCTATCTTTAAATTTTCTCCAGATGTGATTAAATATAAATATGGATCTTCTTAAGGAGTTATGACACTGTCTTGCTCATTTACATCAAAATCAACGATCATCCACATTGAACAGGTTCGTGTTATGCTGCATCTATCATCATCACTGAATAACTATGCTACAGAGCACTGAAAGGACAGATTTGGACTACATTTGGCACTCAGAGTCCTGTTCCACAGGCATGATTAAGTCTTACCACTCTAATTCTCCTGGGCAATTTACATAAAATTTATCACAAAAAACAGTCCATTTATAGCAAGACAAAGAGAAATGTCACGTTTAATTTCCATCTTTTTATTTTCCTGGCATAGTTCAGAAAATTTAACACCCATTTCTTATTATTATTATAGCTAGTTACCATAAAGATAAAATGATGTTACAGGTACATTTAGAACCATTCAGAAATATAAATATATAATCTAGTACTAAAATATATTCTCACAAGTCTAATAGCAAGTAACAATTTTTCTGTGAAGGGTAGAGAGTAAGTTCTTACAGCAAAATGAAGGCAACATGAATGACATGAGGGAAATGATATTTAGAGGAACTTCTTATGAAAGTTCTGTTTTATATTTTTTTAATGTAATAATTAGAAAAAAAAACGAAACACTTAGCAGAATACACAGCTCTGACTGCACAGCTTTAAGAGACATGTGAATTTTTAAACTGAGGATGACTATTTGATTATTACATAAAATATTAAACTTGTTAAGTGTTCTGAATGTAGTGTTATATTTTTAGCTTTTATCTCATAATTGCATTTTTAACAGTTAATATAGCTACAGTATACAGTTATGAAATCAGGTAATAAATTGCTTCCATATACAAATTCAGGGTTAAATAGAACATTTGTACAAAGCTAGAGCATTTCAAGATATGACTTTCAAGTGTCACAGTTACACATGCAAAACAAACTGTTACATATGTATGTAAATTATGTGAGTGTATTTTGCTCACATCTGAAAATTATATCTGATGGTAATTATACAAGTACGAATGTCAGTCTTGATATTAAATTGAAACAGCTCAACAATTATGAGATGCCCCATTAATTTGCAACCAACATGCAATGGAAAAGCAGCTAACAGCAGTATGAAAATCAAAGCAATGGATCTAATGTTGTATATCTATAATAATCAAATAAAGTACAAGACATCTGTTGCATTTATGACCCTGTTCTTCTGCGTTATAGAGACTGTGAACCTAAAAGAATAGATAAGAATTACTAATTAGTAGAAAGATTTATAAACTTCATACAAAAAAAAATAATAATAATAAAAGTGAGATCATTATTCAACTAACCATAATCATTGTTGATGGTACACCCTTCTGTTCCATCAATGTTATTTGTGGGAATGAAGCCAATGTTACCAAGTTTTAACACTGATGCCACAATTTTGAACACATTCACAGCATCTTCCTGTGAAAATCCTAATGTCTCCAAAGCTCTCTGTAGAACAATACATGTATATTAATTTTTTGCAATCCGTCCAGTGTATTGTTGACAGGGCCAATAGTGATGCACACTGTCACTGAACTATAAGGTATTAAGAAGGTATATGATAAATTATAATCATGAACATAACACATCAAGAACCACAATATTTGTTCCTTATAATGGCTCATGGAGATGATAACACATACATGTACGAGTAACTACGTGTATTTAAAAAATAAATTTGTTATATTCTATCAACTACAAATCACCCAACCCAAGTGTAGTATGCTAGACAAGTGAATAATGTAACTTGCTAAAGTGGTGTCCAAATATAAAATGAGTTATAAACATGCCAACCACTTGAGGTTAAAGGTACAATTTACCTTATTGTCAGAACGCAGCATTAGAAACCAATCCATCAAATTCTATCAAATTCATGAAATGATATAATACTCTATTGATGTATCATACTTTGATGTTGCATTCCACAGAGGAATAAATATTAGTTGAGAAATGGTGACTAAAAATTAATTTCCAAGAGTTGTATTACATCATAAAGTATAACTTAAATGCAATGAAAATACTACTCGTATACTCGTATGTATCTAGTCTTAATACCTCTTCCCTATTAAAACGATAATTAAAAAGGAAGCAGAAAAAGTTGGTATGGACAATGTTCAAAATGTTAATTCACTCTTTAATTCATGCGAAGATTTAGTTACAGCTTATATATTACTTACTGATAAGATATATGATTTGATTTTTTTATAATGATCTTGCCAAATGGACACTTCAGAATTAAGGATATATTTTACTTTGATTAAAGATGTCGAGAAAAACTTCTGCTGGGTGTCAGTAATTAACTGACAACTACAAATATTTTCATAATATATTTAACCAGCACAGACTCCCTCTGATGCATTAATCAATTGGTCCTACACAACTTAAGATATAATACATATTTAGCATATGGTACTGTACATGAAAAATTAGTTTATGCTACACTTACAGTTAATATGTAGAAGATCTGATATACATGGTATTTCCTCATTAAGTATTAAAAAGTCTCTGAAACGGCAGTATGTCTCTGTTATAAAAGGGAGATATTACTGTGTTACTATTTAGCAGACTGCCTCTGTGGTCTAGTGATCAGAGTTCCTGGCTACAGATCCAGAGGTCTTGGTTCGATTCCCGGCGCTAGCAGATTTTCTGAGAAGTAGTGGGTCTGGAATGGGGTCCACTCAGCCTTGAGGATAACTGAGGAGCTATTTCAAGGAAATAGTGGCTCCGGTCTAGAAAACCGAAATTAACGGCCGTGGGGATTCGTTGCTCTGACCACGTGACACCCTCTATCCGCTAAATTTGGCACTAACTTTGCTGACAAGCAGTGGTCGCTCAGTTGGTATAGTTCACTTGCAGACTAAAACCACGGAGTTTTTTTTTTGTTACTACTTAGCATCTTGTACAGTGCTGAGATGATAAGTGCAAATGACAGGATGAAAATATGCAAACTTGTAATCCACAGATAAAATACTATACTATACGTCTACCCTCAAGGAGGAGATGGAAGTTTCCTCCAAAATACTGGTAACCACCATGAGTATTAGTGTTATAACCCAGAAGACTACAATCTAAATTACAAGAGGTTAACAAGATGGGCCATCACTTGGAAAATTATTCTGTCCCCTGAAAAAGCAGCAAGTCTTAAGCTTATATATATATATATACACTCTTCATAGATAATCCTTATGCACTGCTTGGCATATCTTGCAGCTTCTTAAACTGTAATGTGTTTTACAGATTCTTCAGTGTTACCTACAAGTAATGCAGTGTAATATAAAAATAATTTAAACCAGAGGAATGCTAATATACCAACCCTTGTAACTTGGAAATCCTGTTTATCATCCAGATTTTCTAAACTGTGAATTCTGCTACTTCGTAGGAAGGCATAATTATCAAGATTGCGTTGTAGCTTCAGGGATTCTAGGAACAACAACACAGCACAAAAATTAAATGTAATGATAAGCAACATACAATTTCTACATATAAATTTAATAAAGGCTACATATCATAAGTAAATATGAGTCAGGATAGATCAATTGGTATGACAAGCCACAGGCTAGATGGCCCAGGTTCAATTCCCATCAGTGCAAGATTTTTTCTCTCCACAGCATCCAGACCTACTCTGGGATCCAGCCAGCCTCCTAGCCAATGAGTACCAGTAGCTCTTTCACCAGGTGTAAAGAAGCAGGAGCATGAAGCTGACCACTCACCTCCATCTAGTGTTGAGGTCAAGCAAGGTGGAGCTATACCTCCACTCCTCCATACAAATTAATGGCATAGTGCTTAACTAATTAAGCACATTATCAATGTTTTTATCAGAAGTAAATAATGATGAAACTAAAGATAGTCAAATTGTATTATGGCTCCTAAGTTAAATATAACATCTTTTCAAACTACAAGTAATATTTATACTACATGAAAGATAATCTCTCTTAAATTAACTAAGACTTTCAAGTGGGACTTTCACATTACATCTCTAACATAGAGGATAACAGACAAAATGAGGCAGATATATATAACACTATGCATCATATTTTAAATTCAATTCTTAAAGCATATGATGAGATACCAGAATATCTTGTTAAAAAATGTATAAATTATGTAAAAAGACCACTGGCTCATATTTTCAATGCCTCTCTGAGCTAAGGCATCTTCCGAGAAAGATTAAAATTAGCTAAAGTGATACCTCTGCATAAAGAAGGGGAATATCATGATATTAAAAACTAGAGACCGATATCCATTTTATCGGCATTTTCCAAAATATTAGAAAAATTGATGTATAATAGGCTAATGCCGTTTTTAATTCAAAATAATATACTAACAGAGGCCCAAAATGGCTTCAGAAAAAATAAATCAACTGACACAGCAAGTCAGTCTTTTATTGAAAGTATACAGGAGGCCTTAGATAACAGCCTATATGTCATAGGATTAAAAGGCATATGACATAATAGACCATGATATACTTTTAGAGAAACTAGACTCATATGGCATAAGAGGCGTGCCAAATATGTGGTTCAGGTCTTACCTGTCAAACAGAATCCAACATGTAGAAATGAAAAACACTGACGGCAGTGTCAAAACCAGTTATAATTCATCATGTAGGAAAGTGAAGTATGGTGTACCACAGGGATCAGTGTTGGGGCCACTTTTATTTTTACTATACATTAATGATCTTACAGAAAATGTTCAAGGAGCAAAGCTGGTTTTATATGCAGATGATACCAATTTGTTAATTACTGGAAAAGATGAACTTGACCTTCAATATAAAATAATGAATGTTATGAAAGAATTAGAAATATGGTTTCAAAAAAATAACCTTGTAATAAATACTAAAAGACATCTGCCATGTCATTTCATTCAAGACAGTGGAGAGATACGTTAAGACCACAAATAGTTTTTAATAATACAGAAATAGTATATCAGTCAGATTTCTTGGAATTCACATANATAAGAACTTGAACCATCTCGAGCATCATTTGCTCTGTGCTTCAAGTCGCTGCTGATGACGCTGCTTCCGGCACCAGTTTTTGGTGTCTCTCTTCGTCTGATGCCTACCCTTTGACCTGTCCAGCAAGGGAGGCCCTGCCAGTAGCTACGCTACCGCTGGTATAGCTCTCAGGGTCATACTCAAACCCCTTCACCACGATAAGGTGGAGACACCAACGAGGGGATGAGTCCATATATGATAAAAATTATTTATTTTTCAAATTTTGAGCCATGTATGAGAAATGGTATCTTATTGTGGGGTGGGTGATTAGTGATATTAGTGATTAGTGGTATTAGTAGTCGCACGTCATGTAGACAAATTTTTAAAGATTACAATGTTTTAACATTGCCTTCTCTGTATATATTGGAGGTGACATGCTTTATCAAAAAATACAAGGCTTTTATGGCAATAAATTCAGACATTCATAATTATAACACACAAAGAAAATTAAATTTTCATGTACAGCACTGTAATACAGCTCTTTTTAAGAGGAGTGTGATAAATATGGGAATTAGTTTGTATAATAAGGTCCCCAATCAAATAAAACAAAGGGGAAAATTTTAACTCATTTAAAAAGGAATTAAGATCTTTTTTGCTGAAACATTTCTTTTATTATGCAGATGAATTTATGTCTTTTGATTCATCAAGTGTGTAAATGTAATATGTAGCTGATTAATTTGTTAATTAATTTGTGTAAAGACAATGAAATTAATGGTAACTAGATCTAGATAATATTATTCAGATGACAAACCCCCTATATTAGGGTGGTACAGTGTATACTGTAAAGATATGCACGAAATTAGACGTAAAACTGACAATTTCCCTATGCAAATGGTTGTAATACCCGTATGTATGGATTGTTGAATGATAAAAAAAACAACTTCACAACAAAACAAATAACATACTACTACTGATATATTAAAGGTGCAGAGGAAGCAAGTTCCTCTGTAAACCATGTCACAGAGAAATTTCTCATCAGAATCAGCAGTGTCTGTCTTATTAATTCGTAACTCAAAGCTAAGATGGCTCTTATGCTTGGACCTTAGTATTTTTTATGTGCAAGGTGTAATGAAACTTTTCTAACATATTGAGATGATGACTGGTTTGAAGAATGATAAGCACTGAAATTTGAATAATAGCATTTGTGTGATTTCTTCAGTAGGATCTCTTAAACTTCTAGCTAATGAACCTTGCTAAACTAATTTTACTAATAAATGGCTGTTATATCATGTAAACTATCTGACACAATAACACACCATTTCATTGTTATATCATGTAAACTATCTGATCCAATAACACACTATTTCAAATATTTTTCATAAGCATATTAGCACATGAATTATAAAGTTAAAATAAGGGAATTTATACCAGTACTCTTAACATAATATTGCTCTATTTATTGACTGAATACCCTCAATGGTTTTAGTTTTATTTGAGACATATCATGTTTGAGTATTTTCCAGGGAACTAGCTATTCTGAACGGTCTTATGCAATATCCCATACTCTCATCAGGCTACTGCCTTAAGTAGCCATCCTCATCCAATGCTACATTAGTTTATCAGTTGATCCACTATCATTACTGTTTAACTGCCATGTAGAATGATTTCCCCATGCACTTAGACCTGTAGTGGTCCATTGTGCTTCCCTCTATGATTTCTACCAGTCTCTATATCCTACCGGTATTGGTGCTTACCATCAGTCCCGCCCAGCCAGCGAGACCAGCTTTACTGGCTGAGAGGTATCTATAATGCTTCCCCCATCTACCAGAGGTATTAAAGACTGCTGTTGGGCGGGAAACGTCTGCAATTTTGGCTCAGTGAACTCCTTTGGAGGTATGAGGTTCTTTTACGTGCCGTAAAGCTATGACACAGGACACACGGCTTGAAGTCCCTCCCGGAGGACTTGTTCCCTGAATTTTTCCGCCCTTAAAAATTTGACGACCTCTGCCGGGTATTTGAACCCGCGTACTACAAGTCATGAGGTGGGAATGTTACCTCTAGAGTACGGAGGCCGCTACAATAGAAGTTAAGTATGGCAATAACCTTCCCCACTTTCTTCATAAACTTCCTCCATCATCACATATTTAACTTTTAAGTAGATTATTTAAATATGCTGTCAGTTTCAAGACAACATGTGTCATTTACAGGATGATTAATATGTACAGAATAGCTGGCAGAACGAGAATTTGCAGGGGAAACCAAAGTACTTGAAGAAAACCCACCACAGTATCATTTTGTCCACCACAAACCCCAATTATCTGATATGGGATTGAACCCGGGCTGCTGCAATGGAAAGCTGCCAACTATCACATCTCTCACTTTCAGAATGAGCTAAAAAGTTTTCACATCTGAATGTGCATAAAATCCAGTGTTTGTGTACCACTGTTTTTTCAATCACATTAAGATAAATTTCCTTTTGTGGCTAGTTTCTCTTGAAGGAAATATGATATGCCATGCTTGTACATATACTTCCAACTGTCCCCCTAACTGGCAGATTTCCACTAACTCTGTTCAGGCTTCATTCACAATAATATAATTTAATGCAGCATCCTGAAATATTTTATGCTAAAATATCTTAAAATATGTGCAATTCTTAAGACCATCTTCTGCAGCATGTAATAACACATCCATACTTACTTTCTACATACCGACAGTAACTAACAGGCCAGTGCAGTCAGGAGTATGAAATTTGGGTATGGAGAAAAATTACCATTTATATCAATGGTTCAACATTACCTTCATGCACCTCTCAACCAATTTTCATTAATATTTATTACCAGCTAGCTCACAATTAGTGCCATGCCAGAAATGTGAATAAAATATTCTACTTTTTGGAATGAAAATCCTATATGGTGTCATTCATTTGGTGATGACTAATACCAACAAATGTTGAAATCTAATCACTCTCTTTTTTGTTAATATCTGGATTAAGAATTCTGATGGGTGCTTATGGAGAAGATGACTAAGTGCACTTAAAAATACTTATTTCAGCTTAATTTGACGTTACAAATTTATTTTTCTCATGACCTCGCACCTCTGCCAGATTGGGAACTACTGATCTGCCATAAAACATAATAATTATAGTAAATTTGTTGTTTCTGAGTTCTTTCACATAGTTGTGTGAGGCTGTACACCATTTTAACACCTGTATAAAACACATCACAAAATGTTATTTGAAACTTTTTCTACAATAAAAATTACAAACATGAGAACTAAGTAAAATTATGAATTTATGTCTGGCAACTTTCTTCCTGAGGGAATCTAAGTGAACAGTGTGTACAGAAATAGACCACTTAATTGTATGATCAATGATTTAAAACTCCTGTCAGCCTCTCTATGTGCAGTAGATGAAAATGTGTTTTAAGAAAAGCAGCCACCAGAATCTATTTTCCATATCTCTTGCTAAATCATTAAAAATATCTGTAACAGAAACAGCTGGAGAATATCTCTAGTTAGAAGACTATGATTATATTGTTATGGTAATATGTAGTACTGGTCAATTTCAAGGTTTCATATTACTGGTGTTACATGTCTGTTCCTTAAAGAGATTTTTAATCAAATGGTTTATGTCTAGTCTACTTAGGGGTATCACATAAGATTTTAATGATTGAATATGCTTCAGACATTAAGAGTTCATAAACCTGTTTTCTATGCAGAGATCAGATGAAAAGATATGCAAAACATATGTTAAACTAGTCATAAACTTACTGAGCAGCTGGATATCAGCCCCTGTTAGTAACTGGTAGAAAATATGGAAGTTCCTTTCACCTTGGGCTTGACATGTTACTCGTGACTGAAAGCCAGAGAGAAAAATAATTTGTAACTTGTAACAAGGTATTATGTAACACTAGTATACTGCATTAAATTGTATCTAAAACAAATTGTGCTCTGTTATGAACACATGAAATATTATATGGATTGTTCAGGCTTCTTTCCAGTTTCATTTTTTAAATTTCTGGACTGGTCCCCTTACCACATGTTAGGAACTAATACCATAATCCATGACAGAAAATCCAAGAGTAATGTGATACTACTATCTTAGACTATGTTTTTAAAAAATATTCTTTACGTTATTTATTTATAAACTTTCATCTCTTCCTGTTCCCCATTCTATGTACACATATCCACATATCTCTCACACTGAATGAGGCCAACTCCACAGTACATAGTTGAAGGAGTTTCCCACAACTTGCTTTGTACCAAACCATCTGAACAAGCATCTTCAACTGTCTGGTGATGTGACTGTGGAATGGGGCTTCATGAGAAACATTTCCAAACTTAGAGAATAAGGGCATGTACAATTCTAACACTGAACTGAAATTAGATTCTTGTAGTAGAGGGGAAGGAAGATGACAGAAAAGGAAGAAGGTTATATCAACAACTAAGAATGAAAGTACAAACAGTATGAAATCTGTATAACTTTAAATTACTTCTAGATTTTTATTTTTAAACACATTCACATCTCAGTAGGAAAGTCTTTAGAACTGCTCTCTCTGTCCATTTCTAACCACAGAACAAACAACTGGAGAACCATGGAACAAATTTTAATGACATTCTGATAATAGGACTCCAACACTGGTTAAAGCCATAGCATCTGCACCCATTTCAAGCATAACTAGCTAAATATCTATTGAAGAAAAAACATTTCAAATAAAAATTCTACATAAAAATGAAACACATTTCATGTCTAAAACAGTAAACTTTAATCCAACTTAGAGTATGATTATGAAAGAAGGGCATGTTAAGTAAATCCATGTTGGACAAACATAATACCTTACAGATTAAATGGGAATATGTGAACATGGTTGTACAATGTCTCCCATTAATACATAGATTACTTACTCAGACACACATACACAACTGAATGGCTCTACGTATAGTTAGGATTGCACACCTGGAGATATTATGGGTGTAATTAGACTTAAATGTCTTGAAAACTCCTTGGTTCATAGGTTTCAAGACAGGTAAAAAATTCAAACACACTGAAATTTTAACAACAAAAATCTGTAATATGGAAGGTGGAAACAGACTACATTGTAGGAAACAGCAGATGAATTGATTTTTTAAAAATTAATAATATACTCTAAAGAATGAATATACTGAAATATTTTACTTCTAAACATTAGGTATGGATTGGCAAGTATGTTTAATGACCACTTACAGGTAGTAACTACAAATAGCTATAATATTGTAATGTGCTGAAGAACACATATCTGAACAGTAATTTCCTAGGCAACGATCCAGCCATTCCTAGACAATGGAAGCAACATAATATTGTAATTCTAACAGTGAGTTTCCTACAAGCCGGAAGGTCGCGGGTTCAAGTCTCGATGAGGTCACTGGATTTTTTCAATTGACCTTATCCTTCTGGCCGCACTATGGCCCTGGGGTTGACTCAGCCTCGAACAGAAATGAGTACCAGGAATTAATTAAATAATTTTCCCGGGGAGTAAAGCACGGCCGGCGCGTAAGGCTCACAGCCTTACCGCCAGCTTTGAGCCAATTTTCTAGATAATGTGGGACCCTCAACGTCTCACAACCATATGGGCCTCCATGGCCTGTTACAGGGATAGCTTTACTTCTTTCTTTTAACAGCAAGTTTCCTCGGTTACTACGAATTGTTAGAAAACGTTGAATGAATGTGAGATCACAAGGACCATGGAGATGCTCGTGACGAGCACTTTGAACAAGGGGGGCAGAGGTAGCTCCCCGAAGACGAACACCAAAGGAAAGGAAATACCGTTAGGCTATTTGGGGCAAACAGCCTTTAGAAGGGAACATTGTAACGTGCTGAAGAACGCATATCCGAACAGTCATTTCCAAGGTAACAATATTGCGTTGCTTCCATTGTCTATGAACGGTAGGATGGTTGCCTAGGAAATGACTGTTCGGATATGTGTTCTTCAGCACGTTACAATATTATTACTGATTTCCACACTACAAATCACTCAATGCTAAGTTTTCTCAGTCTGATTTCACAAGTTGTTGTTTGGTAACAGCTCTCAACAATGGCTATTCTCCTCTGCAGTGTTTTCACTAGATGTTTCCTGGTAATGAATCTTAACAGTGAAGATTCTTCAGCTTCTGTGGTCACACCCGCTGGCTAACACTCCACACCTAAACTCTCAACTGAACTACTGACCCAACAGAAAACATCGCCTCCAACAATCTTTCTAGTGCTGTCATGGGTAGTTGCCTAGCGATAGACTAGATATTTCTTCTGTAGGAACATGTCTACCAACCGCTGCTTAGAAGCGGGTGCTTGTTTATCTGCCTATTACATAGAAACGGCTGTACTCAACCAATTCCAGGTTTCTGCCCATCAACGGGTCTATATGCCACAATACATTCACTTTTCCTTATCAAAAAAATTTCTTGAACCCCTGACATAAAACTAGAGTGTCAGCAATGCTTACCTTTTCCAAAAGGTCTGCAGGAATAAGAAAGAACAACTTTAATAACACAGAACTGTGTGGTATTAGCTCTAACATATGACTATTAAGAACAAAATTTAGCACACACACATGTACTGTAAACAATTATGCATACAGAATGTATTCAACTAGCATATCATGGAATACAATAAGAAACTTAGTAAATACTTTTAAGTCATTAAGTATTTTGATACAGATTTAAATAATAATTAAAGCCTAACTTAAAGATTGTAATTGACAAAAGAGATGTCCATGCATGATGAAAACTTTCTAAACAGTTCCTTCTAGTTAGAACTTATTTCAAAGAGCCCATTTTACAGTCTGTTTAATGCAACTACTCTACCACATTCTACAAGAAAAGAAAAAGACTTTACATATTATGCAGCTCATTCTTGGTGACAGTATGGAACTATTATTATGCTTAATGTCATTCTTGCTCTTAAACAACTCTCTACTTATTATACACGGATTTAATCACTAAACAAAGTTTCAAAGTAACAAAATACATTGTCAGGAAACTTCCCAAGATTTTTTAACACTGTTTCGTGTTTATAGCAGAGAACAAATTGGAAGAAAAAAGTAATATTCTTTTCAAAATGGAATTAGTGAAGAAGAAAGCAGATGTCTAGACTATTTTTAATTGCGCCTCAGTGTACTTACAATTGGTTATTGTTCCTCCAAGGGGATCTCCTTTGTAATCAAACTCTATGTCCAAATACTTTCCCTATAATGAGATTAATCTGAATTAGCACAAAATTTAAAGTGATCTTGATTTACCTCGCCCCAGTTCCACTTTGTCTACCACAAATCCCACATGAACTGACCTGGGACTGAAACCAGCTGGCTTATGCCGGTAGTTTAAATTAATTTTTAATAATAGCATATATTTCCGGTCCTGAGCAAAAATATTTACGAAATATTGGGTTATTTTAGCCTATTTACATACTTATTACAAAAATAGGCTAAGAGTATCGTGAAATCATGACTGTCCATCCGTAGGCATATATAGGCCTATGTGTATCTGTCCCTCCTAATAACTTTTGTTCCAGTATTTTCTTGTGGACCTATACATCCACTCCCCAACACGCCTACATGACGAAGTACTTAATTGTTAAGCACAGGGACAACTTTACTTTCACCAGTATTTTCTTAAATGTTGGTGGGGTCCGGCTCTTTCAGCCCTTAGAGACGGGCCGCCTCAGGTCTGCTGTCTTCGAATTCCCATATAAACAGGATAAAACCTGTACACTGTACGCAAATTACTATGTACTTATTCTAAGTACCGGTATAGCATTTTATACGCAGCGGGTCAGAGGTGTCAGTAAAGTAAGTGACTATGGATCGGAAGCCTTTCTATTTCCGCCGCCTATTCACCTACAATCCCACCCAGTCCAGTGGATACCGGGAACATTCTTCGGCGTAATGAGGGTGACGACCTGGAGGGCTTCGGCACAAGGAGGAGGATAATATTAAAATTTATTTTATATAAATATTGTCACGTGATACTGTGACTACAGACGGATTTTGGATTGATGATCGGACTTATTGGACTCTTTGATACAGCGCGTAACTACATTTTACAATTCACCGTTACACACACACACACACACACACACACACACACTAGTGTCCACAGTCACGTCTTCACTAGTCGTTGCTCGGTAGCGGCTTCCAACGGCGGGTGTTCCCCTTCCTTTGGTTTCCCGAACTATCCCTGGCCTCAGCTACTAGCTTCTCACAGCAACAACTCATAATGAATGAACCTCATCAGTTCTCTGACTGACTAACTCAGTCACCGGTCAACCAAGTCAACTCGGCTGACTGAACTCGTACCTGACTGTCCTGCTTATAACATCTCGACATGGATCGCACAGAAAACACCATTCCTCTGTTGCTATTTGCAATCTGTTGCCTAGAAACGGCCGATGTCTAGTTTGTTTCGCGGCTGTTGTAAAGCAACGGGTCCACATACTACAGTATAATAGGAAAGTTTCAGCTAGATTCATCTGGATCGGATAGGAACCAGCGGCGGACTCTTGCAAACAAAGAAAGAACTTTCGGTTTCATAAAATACTATGAATTTCTTGACTAGCAGAGCAACTATTAGCTTCTCAAGAAGAAATCTGCTTCATTTAGTTAGTTAGTTACTTAAAACAGCTGGACGCGAGGCTGAACAGGTTTAACCCCCGTAAAATTTAACTCTAGACAAATATTGTACTCAGTATTTTCAAAGCGGCCTCCGTAGTCTAGAGGTAACGTTCCCACCTCATGACTCGTAGTACGCGGGTTCAAATACCCGGCGGAGGTCGTCGAATTTTTAAGGGCGGAAAAATTCAGGGAACAAGTCCTCCGGGAGGGACTTTAAGCCGTACGTAAAAGAACCTCATATCTCCAAAGGAGGTCACTGAGCCAAATTACGGATGTTTCCCGCCCAACGGCAGTCTCTAATACCTCTGGTAGATGGGGGAAGCATTATAGCTAGTAGAGCCGGTCTCGCTGGCTGGGCGGGACTGATGGTAAGCACCAGTACCGGTAGGATATAGAGACTGGTAGAATATCATAGAGGGAAGCACAATAGATCAAACTGGTCGCGGTGCATGGGGAAATCCACCCTCTCTAAATAACTAACTAACTAGTATTTTCAACTTCTATTAATTTGGTTATTTACAAAATAGAATATTTAAACAAACCGTATTATTCCTCGGTTTCTTAGTGACTTCTTCCTGCCTATTTTCTGAAGTAACCGTCTTCATTCAAATATTAAAGAAGGGTTGTAACTCGGATTTCGCCTCTGTTAAAGTGTTACTGCTTTCGTAACTAAACTGATACAATCTCACAGTCACTGGCTCCTCTGTTGTTCTTTCTGATAATGCTAAGCTGAAATCCTGGCTCATTTTAATTTCAATCAGGTATCAGACACCACGAAAGCAGCAACTCACCACCTCAATTAGGAAAATCACTCCCCTCCCCCAGATCTGGGTGTGACAGCTTTTCTTGCTAAGAAAATGGTAAGATAAAGGGGATAGACTGCTATAAGAACTCCCATCAAGAGAGTCTAACCTGTCAACTGCAATAGCTTGTTGACTGTATTAAGCATACTCTAAAAACAAGATCTCAGTACACTCTTAACGCAACACGCTGAGGCCTCATGTTTGCCTTTCGTGATTTATATACGTATAGTGCCCACAGACAAACAGTACAATTTGGTTGATTAGATTTTAACTTCAGTTAATATGAGTCATGAGTAATCCTTCATCAAGAACAGTAAGGTAAAGTTGTCCCTGTGCTTAATTAGTTAAGCACTATGCCATGAAGATGCATGGGGCAGTGGAGGTATAGTTCCACCTTTCTTGACCTCGGGACTAGATGGAGGTGAGTCGTCAGCTTCATGCCCTGTCGCTTTACCCCCGTGGAAAGAAACCAGGTATTCACTGAATAGGAGGCTGAGTGGGCCCCAGGGCCGTCTTGACATTGCGGAGAAAAGAAAACGTTTGCACTGCTGGGAATCGAGCTCGTAGCCCTTCTCTATATCGTCGGAGCTATCCCGACTCCCTCTTCAAAAATAGTATTTTCGTAATTCTATAGCGAAAGAGAAAATCATCATATACGTATTATTATTATTGTTTTATTATTATTATTATTATTATTATGATTCACGACTTCGGCCTTTGACCTATTTCGACTACAAAAACCTCTGGCTGCATCTTATTCGTGGGCATCCTCGTCTTCTCCTATCGCAGGATATACAGTGCAATGTACAGTCCGGAATCCGTCCTTCTTTCTGCTTTCCGATATTTTTATACAAAATTTTCCCTATATTTCTTAATCACAGGTAATAATGGGGTCATCTAGTGTTCTTGTCTTGTATCTTCATCACGATTCCTGTCGAGTAGTTTGTACCCTTCTACGGTTCTTTGAAACCTTATGTCTGCTACATGAATTCGATTTTTTGCTGTGCAGCCAAAGTCCAGTCTTCGAACCAGTCAGCACAGCAGGTACTGCAAGGACTTTATAAAAGGATAAAAATGTTTCCTTTCGGACTACTCCTATAGGTTTCGGTTTTATTGCTAATATTAAGCTTATTTGAAAATGGATACAATGAAACACAGATTAGTGAAAGTCTCCCATATGGAACTTCAACAAATTCTAGGGATTGGTTTATCGGATACATGGAAATTTGAGTTTGTGACCCCATGCAGGCCAGGTTTCCTTATGAATCGACATGGCTGAAAAACGGAACTGCTCGACAACCTTCAAACGAAGTTTCCATTACTGAGCTTCAACAAAATGTGTGAAACTGTTAATGGGATATCTGGAGGAGTCAATTTATGGCCACATGTAAAATATGCTTCCGTATGAATCAACATCCCCTCCCCCCCAAAGAAGAACTGGAATTGCTCAGCAACTTTTGATGGAAGTTTTACATATCGAATTTGAACAAAGTGTGAGAAACGGTTCCTACTGGCAGCCAATTCATAGCCATATATACATATACTAGGGATTGTTGTGGACACTTGTGACTGAAACCCCGAATTCCCCAGAAATATTTTGTGAATGTTTCCCATGTCAAATTTAAACAAAATCTGTGAAAAGATCTATGGAATACAGGGAAAAATCCGTATGTGGTCTTACATTAACTGGGCTTCGTTGTGGCTGAAATTTGAACTGCCAAACAACTTTCGATGGAAACTTACCATATAAAATTTAAACAAAATGCATGGGGCGCTTTACATGATATGTGAAAAAGCCCTCTTATTTTTTTATGTAAATTTGCCTTTATTATGGATCAGTATGGCCATAAATCGAAACAGCCCAGCAAATGTTAGCATAAGACTCCTAAATCGAATTCTGAAGAATATCTGTTCAACCGTTTAGGTCCTGATATTAGGATAAAACAGAAGGATGGACAGGTAGAAAGACTGAGAGATATGACGGCCAAACAAGGTGTAACTTAACACTGAGAAGAACGCTCAGAATTCTATGCTACATTGAGCTCTTGCTTGAGAATCATGAATCGTTAAACCAGTTCTTACAAGAACCTTTTAACCATTCAGACTAAATTTTTGCCTTGTCTCCACCGCCTTCAAAGAAATCTCACTCATCATATTCAAAATATCGTTTACACTACTGACGTTGAACTTCGGCTTAAAAATTATGTAGTATCATACTTCTTCCATTTTTGTTACTTAACTCAAATTTCGTTCTCAAAACCGTGGCCATTAAAACAAACATTAATACCGTATTTACGCATGTATAGGCCGCACATTTTTTGCCAAAAATTCAAGAGGAAAACTGGGGTGCGGCTTATATTCGAAATATTCGAAATCACACACATTTTTTTCGTCAACGTCGAGTTTTCTTCCTGCTGCTCGATTTCCGTGTTCTTGTGCGTAACGCACCACTTGAAGTTTAAATTTAGACGTATAACCTGCTCTTACTCGACCCATGTTTCACTCAGAACTAACCAGGCAAGTCAAGTAAAGGCGAAAAGGTTATAACTCTTCCCCGCAATGCCTTTGTTCCGAGCGGTACCGTTATTTTCGCTAGTTGCGAACTTAGGAATGTTAAACGTTGCCAAATTTCGGAATAATTTCTACTCCTGAAATAATATTCCAAGAAAATTATTTTTTTCTATAATTTCTGTCTGAAAATTGTGCTGCGGCCCATACACGCACGCGGCCTATACATGCGTAAATACTGTATCTTAAATTTACATCGGAATCCAGAATACAACTTTTCTTCTTTGGTCGCTATATTATGATATGTATTAGGATAAATGAAACGCACACCTCTAATTTAGCATTTTTCCAGTAACCTAATATACATCCTGTAATTTTTATATCTATTTAATCTTAAATATTAAATAAAAAGAAATGGTACTCACGAAACGTGATGAATTATCATTCCTATATGTTTTCGCATTGCCGAAAGCTGAAAAGAAGACAGAATCGATTCACTATGGATTTAGTCTAATTTCTGCAGTGACATTACGAACACTTGCTCGGTGGGTCAAATATAAGAGAGATTTTCCCAAGTCTTATTACGTATATGACAGCACAATAAATGCTTCTTTTCGTCTTACCAGGAAGAAAAATGGTGTAGGTCAGTGAAGGGATAGCTTTGAGGTATAATGCTACAGATGTCTGTAAAGCCGAAACCTGTTATACTCAGTATTCAGATTCTATTATCCTCCTCAGTGAGGGTGTGTGAGAACAGGGTGTTGAGGAGAATGTTTGGGCTGAAGAGAGATGAAGTGACAGGAGGTTGGAGAAAACTGCACAGTGAGGAGCTTCATAACTTGTACTCTACTCCAAGTAAAATTAGAATGATCAAGTCAAGAGGGATAATGTGGGCAGGGTACGTAGCACGAAAGGGGGAGAAGAGGAATGCATATAGGATATTGGTGGGAAAGCCAGAAGGAAACAGACCACTGGGAAGATCAACAAATAGGTGAACGGGCAATATTAAAATGGCTCTTAGAGAACTAGGATGGGATGGGATGGATTGGATTGATCTGGCTCATGATAGGGGCCTATGGAGGGCTCTTGTGAACACGGCGATGAACATTCGGGTTTCATAAAGTGCTGGGAAAATCTTGAGTAGCTGCAAAATTGGCGGCTCCTCCAGAAGGGCTCAACTCCATGAGTAAGTGATCATCCTCCTCAATGAAGGACGAGAAGGGTGTACTACACGAGTAGCGACTTCACTTCCACAACTTTTACGTTCTCCTCTGCAGTTTTAAAATGTATTGTGCAACCTACCTCACGCGTTAGAGCTGCTGTTAACAGATTGCGCTACACTTCATGTATGTCTCCACCACACAAACGAATATACATCCACGTAACAGTCTACACCAGCTCCAGAGAAATATACTGTCACGGTCTCTGCCAGCCATATATCTACTTCTTCCCATCTTACGTTGACAAAATTACTCGGTAGACAGCGGAAAAGAATATCAGTGTTGCTTTACTGATATCTGGAACTTGTCTTACTAGTAAAGCTGCAAAATATTTACAGTGGATGTTGATATGACCTCTTAACATAAGCATGGGTGAAGACATTTAGTAAGCTTAATGAAGTTGTTGATTTAAAGATTTGGGATCAAGAGTTTGATTTCAGATATCTTGTATGTTGTGTAGGATTTGAGGTAATCACAGCGGTGGTTATGAAGACTTCTATCTTCTGTGATATAACGCCACGTATTCCGCTGAAATTCAACACACGTTTCGGAGGAACATGTCGTCCTCATCTTCAGGATCGGAGAACAATCTAAGCAAGGAACCAGCGTGAAGCAGATAGCAAGCACACCTGACATGCTTCCCCTAAACGTCGGTTGACTTTTAACAGACTACATCCCATAAGACAGAATTCTTCAACTTATATATGCTTTTCCAGCTAGAGCCCAGGTTTTTATATCACATTAGTGTTTACAATGTACTAAAAATGCCCAAATAGATTAGTTTATATTCAGACCGAAGGTCACCCAGTATGACTCTTGTCAAATGTTAAAAGAACAATATGGCAGTCGTAAGAGAAGAAAAATTAAATGCACAACAAATTTCATAGGCCTATCCGTGATTCTATTAGCAGTATTAAATAAATATGTGTATATTATTACAATGCCGGTCACGGTAGCCGAGCGGTCTAAGGCATGCACTGTCTTCGCTCGCTCGGAAACCGAGATCGTGGGTTCGAATCCCACTCAGGGCATGGATGTTTGTGTGTGTTTTTCTGTGTTTGTCTACAGGTAGAGGCCTTGCGACGAGCTGATCACCCGCCCAAGGAGTCCTACCGTATGTGTAAGATCTAGAAAAATCGAAGTGAACGGAGAAGTTCATGGAGATAGGCCTAGGCCCAAATTGGGGCTGTAGCGCCACAGGGAAAAAAAATATATTATTACAATATGATATTAAGAATACTATTAACTTAATGTATTTTCACTGTATGTTTAAAATAAATAATTTTAGCGTAACTTTACAATCCCCGTCCCTCATCCCGTACACATTTTGGCAGAAGTGTTCTGATGCGCAAAGTATCCACAATACATTTTGCCTTGTATTCGAAAGAAAAGAAGAAGAAAAAAATATAAAATTTGAATGAGCTGTCTTGTCACCAAAGGAAAGCATAAATCACGTTTCCACGAACACTCCAAAAATTAAAGGAAACCTCTATAAGGTAGTAAGATTTCACCCTAAAATTAAAGCGCCCATCGAACATTACGTCTTTGGCAGAGGGCAGGAAAGTGTTATATAGAAAGAGCAAATTATAATGAAGAAAGCAGTCTTCTGGGATTTGGCACCGTGTATATGTGGTGTTAACCGACGTTCCTCCGAAACGTCGGTTAACACCACATATACACGGTGCCAAATCCCAGAAGACTGCTTTCTTCATAGTCACCGTCGTGAAAGCCTCAAATATTACAACAAATTATAATGTCACATAAATTGCGAAATCGCAAGAAACCGTGTCGCATTTAACGTATGTGTACGCCACACATGAAATCCACGAGATACCGGACAGCGTGAGTAGAATTCTTCCGTGTTTTCCTCAGAAATCCCAGTGGCTTCTGAACTAATATCTAAATACGGGACACAACTGCATGTAACCTCTCAACAGTACTTCCCAACAATAATTTTCATATTACCCCAGTTCCATACCACCGTGAGAAAAATGTGGAGAAAGAACAAGGATTGTACAACATGTACTGCGTAACTAGAAAACACTTATGTCTATATGATGACGCTGAGGGCTTATCTACATGAAAAGAGGAGTTACTTACCTTCCAAAAGGGGCCCCGCTTGTACGAGACGTTCCTTCATGATCATGACTTCACGGCTTTGACCAGACGCGAGAGCCACGAACTGCAGGACGATGCGGGCAGCTTCCGTCTTCCCGGCGCCACTCTCACCAGACACTACGATGCACTGATCTTCGTTTCGGTCTCTCAGGAATCTGTACGCGGAACCGGCGATCGCGTAACTGCAACAAGCAACTGGGATGCAACATGCAAGGAAAACCTTCCCAGCTCAGGAAGTGCTAATCCTCTGGGCCGAAACGTGCAAAAACGGTCCTGAAACCATGACTGAAGGCCAAAGCGTTGGAAGTAACTGTCTCCTTCCTTTGTTAGCAAATTAAGTCGTCTAAGTGTCTAAACTTTTTCAGCATATTATAATTATGTCAATTGCTTTCAAACAAAGCAAACAAACAAACTCCGTGGCTTTAGTCCGCAAGCGAACTATACCGACCGAGCGACCGCCGCTTGTCGGTGAAGTTAGTGCCAACTTTAGCTGCTAGAGGGTGTTGCGTGGTCAGCGCAACGAATCCCCCACGGCCGTTAATTTCGGTTTTCTAGACCGGAGCCACTACTTTTCCATTCAAGTAGCTCCTCAATTATCCTCACGAGGCTAAGTGGACCCCGTTCCAGACCCACTACTCAGAAAATATGGTACCACAGGAAATCTAACCCGGGACCTCTAGATCTGTAGCCAGGAACTCTGACCACTAGACCACACTGAAAAAAATATCCACAATTTAAAGGTTAATATCCTGTTTCATGGAGACATACGTGGGATATGTTCTGAAATGTTCAGCAACTCACTAGGTTTTCGTGCCTTGCGCGGTGCGCAAATGCACACACATGCGCACTCGACCATCTCAGTAGAGCAAAACTGAGTGCCTACAGTAAATATTGGTCAGTATTACGGCTGGGATCCGTTCAAGGGAATTGCCGATGCGCCGTGTGGTTCTCCGAATACCAAATAAAGACAGTGTAAGTGAAAGAAGGATGGCAGCTATCTTCCTGCAGGAGGAGGCCACACCTCATTTCACCCCTGCGGTTCGACATGCTCTGAATGCTAGATTTCCCTATCGCTGCACTGGAAGAAGTTGGCCAATATCCTGGTCTCCCAGAAGAACAGCTCTTACACCACTGGACTCTTCCAAATGAGGACATGTGACAGACATTACATACGCAGAGAAAGACCGCGATTTACGTTACTTCTGAGAGGGAATTTATGTCGCTGATGCGACAGCCACCCCGGACAAGCTTCGTCGTACTCCGAAAGAAATCGAATGTTACTTAGGCGTCTGCACGACTAAAAACGGTGCTCGCAGAATCATTAAGGATGTCAGAAAATTTACGATTTTCTGCACATATAACCAAGGATTGTTTTTTCATATTTTATGAACTTCATCTTGAAACTAGGGAGTTCTTTTTCGACGACGGGGGTATAGCTATTTCCTGTGATTAAGTAGGGAAACTCCATTATCCAACCGTTTCCAACATATCTATATTAAAATATATTTTACTTCAGTTCTTATTGTTCTAACTGCATTTGGATTTCTAACAGACATTACTGTTCATGCTAAGCTCAATACAGTAATTAGAGATGTTGCAATTTTGTAACAGTTTAATTTACATAAAACCGCCCCGTGCGACAGTCTTGTCCTAACTGCTCTCTGTCTACGGCAACTTTCTGAACACTACAGCAGGAAGTTCCGAAATAATTCGACTTGTGCTAACGAAATGAGCTGAGGTAAAACAAAACATATAATATTCAAAAATCTGTAGCAAATTATTTTCGCAGTTCATTTATTAAAACTTCCTGGGTGCGTTGGGAATCAACCGATGTAGCTAGAAATAACATTTATTACGTACCTGTAGTTTCAACAGAAAAATGGAACCTTGTTACTGGGGTAATAACAAGCAAACGAAGTATTATCAACGCCGACAGCAAAAGGAACAAATTAATATTGCATTCATTCCTACAGTCTTGTACGAATATAAGACAGTGGCTAGCCACATATGTACAACACAGAGTTGAAAGGAAAACAAGGTTGACGAATTGCAGAGAACATAAAAAGATCGGCGAGCTTGGAGTGGGCATACATCCACGAAGTTAACTTTAATAATATCGAGATATTCTTGGTTAATAAACTGAAGAGCTCCTCATTTTGAAACTTCCTACGCTTCTTATTACTTATTATATTTACGTAAGTTCCAAGTGCTGTCCTCAAATACCGTTAATTAGTTCTTCCATCAGGGTGCGAGGAATGTTTCACGCTTACATAAAATGTAGTTTTATACCTTCGTATTTTTTCATAATTATTTGAAGTCCTGGTTTTAGGAGACGAGATAGCGTAGTCTGTATAGCAACTGGCCATGCGCTGGAGTCGGAGTTCTAGTCCCGGTAGGGTCAAGAATTTTCTCTTCTCCACGTTGTTCAACTTAACAAGTTTGTTTCCTGAAGTTTTCTTCAAATACCAGAACGCTAAAAAATTAGCAAATAACGTATCTGTAATTTTTGTTACGATTTCATGAAATATTCTTGTTACAGTATATGGACACATACTTTGTTCCCTCTACCTTCATTTCCGGGCCACTTTCATAAATCTTCAGATATATTTCATTGTTTTCTTCTATATTACATTTATATACTCGTTTAAGAAATTAACAGCAAAATTTGATATACAGGCTTCAATTCTACTCCCTCCCGGTTCTCTTTTATTTTTCTAAAGGACTCTTTAGATATAAAGACATTCTTTGTAACAGAGAATATCTGTCTTACACATTAATTCAACTTCGTGTGACGCGCTACTGATTCGCTCTTTTATCTAAAGGCGCGTCCACATTACTCGTGCTCGTGCTCGTGTGACTCGCTATGCTCGCGAGTAATGTGGATGATATGACAAGTCACGAGACAAGCAAATTTTTAATTTAAAAACTATAGCCAATAAATTATAATACGACTACAGCCTATACACACTACGAGTAAATATACGGGTGGGGGGGTGGATGTATAGATCCACATTTTCTTGATCTAGGCGCTAAATGGAGGTGAGTAGTCAGCCTCCCGCCCCGGCCGCTTTACCCCCGGTATTCATTGGATAGGAGACTGGGTGGACCCTAGAGCCGGCCTGGACGACGTGGAGAAGAGAAAATTCTTCACCCTACTGGGACTCGAACTCCGACCCCCTCGGTCATTTAGCCCGCAGCCAGTCGCCATACCGACTATGCTATCCCGGCTCCTACCTAATAATACAGTAGAGTAGATATCTGGTTAGATTAGGTGTAGCAAAGATCTCGCAAAAGAATTTTAATGGACGTTCCATAAAAATGCATAGGTTTTAGCACTACATTAGAAATCTTCCTTTAGTACTTTTCCTCTATAGAGAAGAAATGTCATACTCGTACATGTGAATGGAATTCGATGGGCACTGTACCGAACTTTTCATTTATAAGAAATCATGAACCATCAAATTTGTTCCAGTTTTCCAGACGCCTTAGAAAAGCGGAGCAATACTCACAAAGTCGACACCTTCTAAATATATCAAGAGGGTAAATCATATTTCCGTTCGTCATTCTGCCATTTAGCTGTCACGGGTCCTGTTTCTTCAAGTTCTGTAAAATACATCTCATATTCTTTTTCAGCGAACGTTCTTTGGTATTTTGATAGAGACTGCCGTGTTGGGACTGACTCAGGTTTAAAAGAGGGCAAAAAAAAATACGCGGGGAAAGGCGCTTAGGAGAAGATTGTGCGTGAAAATTGTTTTAAACCTTAAATTGCCTTTAGAACTATGAGGATTAGAAGAGGACAACACAGACAAAGACATAGCTGGTAGGTATGACTTAGTGCTGATTCCGTACTTCCAAGCAATGACGCCAACATTTTCACGAACGAACTAAATAAACCAACGCACTCGTTCAGTACGTGACATCTTCGTACTTACTGTTCTAGTAAGCGTTGAAATAACAAGCGATCTAGTGTAAACATCTCAATGGACTGGATAAAACTGGATGCATGGTATGTCGTTTCATCTGTTTTTGCGTGAAGCTATCTTCTTCATGTTATTCACACACTAAGGGAACAATAAGACGCTTTAATGCCTCCAAGGATGTCCCCAAAGGGCCGAAACAAGCAAGGCTATACATCTAATTTGATGTATTTTATTAAGTTTGTTACATTGGATGACTTATTATTCCAGCAACAACAAAATTCGACATGCGGACCTGGCCTTCAGCAATAGTAAGCTTTTAGTTTTCTTCTGCTGCGTTGATCCCAAACTTTACGCGTATTATTTAACAATCCTGTAAAATTTGTGTTTAACAAGGCAGCACTCGGAGAGGCTTTATTTTTTTAATTCTCTTAGTGGGGGGTGGAGTCCAGCTGGGTCCACTCGGCACGGCGGCCATTGATTGGTCTATTGTACCTGCCCCGGGTGATTATGATGATGGAGAATTTGGTGGAATGGAAATTGGCAGGGGAAACCGAAGTACTCGGAGAAAACCTGCCCCAGCGCCACTTTGTCCACCACAAATCCCACCTGACCAGACCCGGGATCGAACACGGGCCTCCGCGGTGGGAAGCCAGCGACTAACCGCTTGAGTTATGGCGCGGCCCGGAGAGGCTTTATCTGAATACTCTGGGTTTCCTTTGCCGGTCATCAGTTCATCACTGCTCCACACTCACCTACCACTGTCCCGCAGAAGTCGCTTTAGTACCATCGGTAGGCAGCCAAGGCTTCACCATTAATACGACACGTAGCTGGATTCAGAATAAAGATTCTGGATTCTCAATTTAACTTTACTCAGCGGTTATACACGATACAATCAATTAGACTGAAGATCGGAGAAGGATGTGAGATGATTCAATTTTATCTTATTATATCCTAGAACCTTATGAATTTGAGTCAGAAGCGGTGTTGGAGCTGATCGTTTCAATCTGTGTATGGGAGACTGGTTACGTTAAACAATGTGATTAGGAGAAGAGGATGGTGGAAGTGGAAGATAGCCTTCAATCGGCATCATCCTCTAAGTAGCAGCACAGCAAAATGCGTAAGCCTACTGTTTTTCAAACAAATTTAGTACTGTCATGTGTAGGGGTGTGCGCGTGACTTATAAGAAGGGTTTTGGATTGGATGATTGGATTTATTGACACCTTTTACACAGTATTCGGAACTACAGGCAATACAGCGCCATG